ACTAGGTTCCAAACTGTTCTATTTTTATTGTTGGAATTCTTAATTACATTTTCGTAAAAATTCAACTTTGAAGCTTTTATTAATGATTCATAGTCTTTCTTCGCTTTTTTGTATGCAGCACGAGAATCTTCGTTGCCTATATTTTTACATAACCAATGCATACTTTTTAAATCAAGACTGGCCTGTTTCACTTCAGGAGTTATCCAGTTATGTTTATTACTAGTGGACGATTTGTGTTTTTTGGTCGGACATTTATCGATAGCATCACTTATGATATTACATGATTGTAGTAAAAGCAGTCAAATAGATCAAATAATAATAGTATCATTTAAATACTCGTCAGTTGCATAGTATGCTTTTTCAAGTAAAAATGCTTTCAATTTTATTTTTAATGTTGTTTTATCGAATTCCCTCACTGCAAAAGGGAGTTTGTTGTAAATTGTTATACAGACGGCTCAAAAACCAAAGAAGTCTCAGGATATGGCTGGTGTCTCAATCGCCAAAGCCTCGGTAGATAATAACATTATTGTGAGGGTTGAAGAGCACGACAGGAGTGAAGATAATCGCATTGCCGACTATTCAGCTAAGGAAGCGGCTGGACTAAGGATCGCCTTGGGCAACCCTGGGAAGCTGGCGCCAAAGGAATATCTGGCGATGACCAGGAAAAATCCACGCTTAACAGTAGGACTAAGAAAACACCAACTTAGTATGAGACTGTCAGGTATTTCCTATGCGAGTGCTCGGAGTTATCGTCAATAAGAGAGTGTGTGTTTGGCGAGTCTTGGCCTGCACCTGCCGATATAAAGGAGATGTCTCCCAGGGACCTGTCCACTTTCCTGGAAAGGGCAGGATGGACGATGACCTAGAAGGACAACTCCTCGGGAGGATGTAAAATGGGTCACATGTGGTCTAAGTTCCGTGGGCTTACACTCCCCCTCCCTACTCTACAGATACAGAGATAGTCTATCTATCAAGGCAACATGAATACGCTCAGCAAAGCCGTGAAATATCTGGGGGTGTGGCTGGACAGGAAACTATTATTTGCTGAACACGTCAACAGCTTCTTGGAAGGGAACGTTCCCTGCAAGTGGCCGTTGATAGATATCTCTCCAAAACTTTCAGCGTCAAAGCTGGTGTTTCCCAGGGATCTATATTGTCTCCAACCCTCCTTTCATTGTCATTCCATTTGGATTCCAGAACATCGGCTGAGGATGCACATCTTCACCGGCAGCAGGAGGTTGCACATCCTAATGAGGATCGAGAGGGGTGGAAGTAACCAGGTTCATTTTAATGCCATGAAAACCGAGGCATCGGTTTTCTACGAGAAGAAAAATGTCTTCAAACCAGATGTAATGATGCCAGGACAGATAAATCTGCTTTCTGCTTCGTTGAATTTGTTGGGGGTTGAAATGGACACCAATATGTCTTGGCAAAATCATGTTGATGGAATTGCAGTGGTTTCTACTCAAAAGATTAGAACACTGCTCCAAACCAGAAAACTGTACACACCTCAGCAACTTTTGATGCTTTATGAAGCTCAGATCAGCTGTATTCCATTCAATAAAGAGCCATCCACCTGATCGGAGACACCAACATCATTTGCAACCTTGATAGTCTGGAACATCGAAGGAAGGTTGGAGATTTGTCTCACTTTTGTAGTTACTTTCACGGGAGGTATTCCAGTGACTTGGCACATTTGATTCCACCAAGAGCGATACATATCCAATAATGTTGGAGGGCCTAGGCCTCAGAAAGAAAAATTTTGGCAAGCGTGGTTCCTTCACAGTTGCTCTATGGTGCACCAGCCTGGCATAAGGTTACAAAAAACGAGAAACTCAACCAAAGATTTTCGAGAATCCAACGGATGATGACTATACGAGTCTGCAGTGTACATCGAACAGTTTTGGCAGGAGTGGCGGTGGTCATATTGAATGAAGAACAGAGCGTTACAGAGGTATCCAGAAAGGAATTGCAACAAACAATTCAATGCATGAATGGCAGGAAAGATGGAATGCCGCCATATATAGAAGGTGGACCTGGGCCATGATACCAGATATACAAGTCTGGTGAAACATACTCTTTGGAGAACCTATTCATTTCGAAACTCAAGCACCCTCAAGCCATGTATGTTATAGAAAATATTCCTGGGAAGAAGATTAAACCAATTCTGACCAATGCGGTTATTACAACGAAGTCAACAATACGGAGCACACTTTATTTAACTGCGGTAAATGGCAGAACATCAGAGCAGACCGTCACAGAAAAACAGGACCAACCTTCAATCCAGAAGACACGATGCGAAGCCTAGTGAGCGGTGAGGAAATGTGAAAGGACACGTATGTATTCATAAGACAGAGTATAGCCACAAAAGAAACGAACGACATGAACTGAAGAAAATGTCAAGGGGCTAATGAAGGAGGAGTTTTGCTGGGGTATACAGGACTTACACACATCAGGATGGGAGTGCCCGGACTGTCACGCGAGGGAAAACCTTTGTGCGGCACCATTGAGGTTTTCCCTCTGTAGTAGCTATCCCTGCAGCGATGTCTACCGACAGTACCAGAGACCAGCAAAAGAGGCGGCTAAAGGAAAACATCAGATAGATAGAAAGTTATTCACTTTCAATTAACACTAAATTACAGGAAATGCTGAATTCTAATATTGGGTCTTCCAAGAGGGACTCCTGAATTTTGACAATTGATAACGGTCACATCTGTCGCCATGGTCGGATATAGCAAGTGCGAATGTTAAAATTATTTTATTAAAATGGGTGTTCTATAGACAACGATGTGTATTCGCTGAATGAGCTCTGAAGCAGTTTTCATTGAAAAATCACCTTCAACGATAAGGCCATTTCTGGATGCTATGGCTTTGAAGGATTGTCATATAACTGGCTCTACAGTTATCTAACAGGTAGGAAGCAGTTAGTAAAACTCCAAGGAAATACATCGCATATTGAGTAGTAATTAGACTTTTGGTTATTTTAAATATAAAAACCATTGTTAAAAAGAATAATCGATTTGAAATCGACAGCCATTGTAGTATATTTACCACAAGGTTCGGTTCTGGGTCCTATCCTACTTTATCAAATTCAGCCTGATTTATTCACCAGTCATGGAAAATTGGACGTTTCGGATGTGCTGCACCCATAGAAAGCCGTGACGGGCATTTAAACTATGTTATATTCCACACATAATTGCATCGATAGGTCTTTCAAAAGAATACACACAGTTTATTTTGTTTAAATTTAAAAGTGAGATGAAAGACGGCAATCAGTCCAGATTTTGTTCTCTCTGATCGTCACTCTAATCTTGAAACCCTATATTCTTTCATTCAAACCAAACTTGTCTTGAAAAACATCAAACGTTGTTCAAAGACCTTCTTTCAGCTCCGGAAACCTCTCAGATGCAAGAAACTTCTCACGAGCTCTTGTTTGCAGACTCTAACACGACGATCACCAGGTAAACTTTCATTACACTCACCGCAGATGGTTGCCAAAATCGATGTTAATTAAAATACAAGACGAACTTCGGGTCTTGTTTACTCTTCCCGGTTTGTTTTTCCTCTTAACGTTTCACTTTATGTGAGTGGGCTAAACCGTGTTTTCTTCCACGTTGCTTTCGAGGTTGAGAGCAATCGGTCCCGATTCGTTCGGGTGGAGAAGGGTAGTGCTTTTGAAACTATACAAAGTGTTTCCAAATGATATTCGAGAATATTACTTTTGGGTCCATTTGGTCTCGACTTTTTACCTACAGGGTGCTGAAGTTTCAAGAAAAATGTATTCTTTTAAAAAACTTACATGTGACTCTAGATATTTTTATAAACGCTGTACGCATTAACTATATTTTTTTCTGTAGAACATAATTGTTCATGCCAGTGACGTCCAAGGAGGATCAGGACTGGATATTTTCAGAGGGGAAAGTGATACGCAACTGTTTTTTCACAAAATGAAGACCAACATGAAAATTTTGTTCATTTGTTTCGTTTTGAAGTTCATCAATTTTCATTTCAGGAAAAAATGACCTGTGTAACTTCTAGCAATGTTATTCAGGATAATAATTTCTAGGATAATAAATCTCTAGAATAGTTATTTGAAATATACAAATGTTTTATCGACACTCCATACAAATCGATCAAAGTATTCATTAACCTTAACAAACTTGATAATAATAATAATATTCATTTGACTACGTTACATAATACAATATGTTTGTAGTCATGTTTGGCTTTACATTTAAAACTTATAAGTTGAAATTTACACGCAAATAACAACAATCACATATGTAAGAATTTTCTCTTGTAAGTGTTCAGACTGAGTTCTTTGAAATCTTGGGGTAAAATATTGTACAGAGAGTAATCTATGGATTTTTTTGCGATAATTGATAATGTGGTGAGCGAACAGAAGTACGATAAACCAAATGCTGTAAATGGCCCCAAATACTAAAACCGAGAAGATTGAGATCCAAGGATCGAGCGGGCCAGTTCTGTGGTCCTCCTCGACCTATCCACTGATTTGCATATGTTTCAGTTAAATGCTGACGTGCTACTTGATCAAAATGGGCGGGAGCCCCATCATGCATAAAAAACATATCCCGTCTGACGCCCAAAGGAACTTTCTCCAGCAGTACTGGATGCACTTCTCTTAAAAATTGAACCTATGCCGCACCATTTAATCAAGGAGGTACCATCACCAACGCCGAATGCTTCAACTTCATCAAGAAGCAAATAATGCAGGCCGAAATTTTCCACGGAACCCCATTGAACAACGAATACGAACTGATCCCCTTCAACCACTTCACCTACAGCAGAGTATATCCCATAGACTTAGGTCTGGGCAAACGCGTGGTCGAAAAACCCATAGGCTACAAGCGGAAGGACCTCCTGGAGGCTTTGATGAAAGGCCTGGACGCACTGAATAAGAATATCACGGAGAAGGTCGGAAGGTACACGTTGGATGACTTCCTGGAGGGATTGTACAGAGTGGAGCCTACCACAGGGACGCAGTACGAGCTGTATTTTAGGACAAAAGTGTCGGGGTTCACTAAAGTGATCGTGATGAGGCCCTTCGCGCCTCTGCAAACAATCAAGACGGTGCCTCTGTCGGGGCCTAAAGAGAAAGAGTTGATCCACATCATCCTGCCGCTGTCAGGGAGGACTGCGACTTTCCAGAGCTTCATGGACAAGTTTGTGAAGATAGCCTTGAAGAACGACAGGAGAGTGCATCTCACCGTGGTGTATTTCGGCGAAGAGGGGCTCTCAGAAGCGAGATCCATCATGTCCAGGGTACTAATGACGAAGAACAGCGGAGGTAACGCCAACAACCTGAGGCTACTCGCCCTCAACGAAACCTTCTCCAGGGGTAAAGGACTACGTGTGGGGGCGGAAAGGACGTGGGGGTTAGACGGGAATGTCGTCGGTGAACGGGACGTTCTTTTGTTTATGTGCGACGTTGACGTAGTGTTCAGTGCGAGGTTTTTGGACCGGTGCAGGTGGAACACCAAGCCCGGTAAGAAGGTTTACTATCCGGTGGTGTTCAGTTTGTACAACCCCCACGTGGTGTACACGCTGCAAGGGAGGGACGTCCCGCCAGAGAACGACCAGCTTGTCATTTCCAGGGATACGGGGTTCTGGAGGGATTTTGGATATGGGATGACGTGTCAGTATAGGTTAGTGATTGTATATTATACATGACAGTCGAGATACTTCATGCGCTTGAAACTCTCGGGCCTAACGCGTAAATGGTGCTAGTCTTATTGCATTTACCGCTTCTTTTGTTAATACTAACCTCCAAAAGAAAGCTCTCAACATCTCATGATATTCTACTTGTAACTTTGTGAGTTATTGTGCTAAAAGTGGCACTACTTTTCAGGACAACGGATAAAAAACAATTTCTTTTTTTTGTACTGCTTCTTGATGCAGAAAAAAATACCGTTCAAGCGATGCAATGGCTTGAAATATGTTGAAAGGACTCTGCTCCATCATAAATAACAATTAAATGTTGGTTTGCTGACTTTGAACGTGGGCGTAGAAACACCGATGGTGCAGAACACAGTGGACGTCAAAATGAAGCAGTAACACTAGAAAACAAAAAAAAATCCACAGACTCGTTTTAAATAATCGAAAAGTGAAGTTGCCTGAGTCAGTTGGCATCGTAATGATATCAAAAACATGTTGGCGCCATATTGCATGATCATTTGACTATGAGAAAGCTCTGTTCAAAGTGGAAGACGCGCGAGCTCACTGTTGACCAAAAACAAGAACGTTTTGATGATTCTGAGCAGTGTTTGGCCAAGTTTAAACATGTTTTTGTGTAGATATTATCATTTCCAGATAGATATTATTTTTTTCTCAAAAATAAAAGCAATGCTGATGGAGTAATGTCTGCTACATTTTTGAAATCACCATTTTTTACACTTGGATTTCATATCCTAAGAGGACATTGTTAGATCAAGATCTTCAGATGATGTGGTGCTGCAGGTTTTTCCGGGTTTTCCTGCAGCTGAAAAAGCAAATGCGCCACTGGAATCAATGAAGTCGCCCCGGAGCGCCAATTAATTTTTATTGTTGTTTTTGTTTTATTCAAGGCTCAGTTGAAAATATACAGCGTGACTCACGGTCGATGGTAGGTTAGATGGAGGAAATAATGTTTTTCAATTGAAACTTGGGAACATGCCAGACTCATTCTGACTCCTACAAAGAAATTTCCTCCACACATTTTTATCAGTACAATGAAATTGATTTCGAAACTCTGAAAAATATACACAGTATTTGTAGGCAATACATGTTTTTTGAACAATGTGACCGGACATTTAATCCTCGAAATGCCACGTCATTTTCCAGTATGCCATTCACCACAAATTTCAATTAATCTCGATGTTTCCAACCAAATAACGATGACAGCACAACATGATCGTACAGTTGGTCGCAGCTATAAAATTCAACATGCTCATATGCTTTTACTTTTATGGAACCATTCGAAAACAGTGCATAACACCGAACCTAGATGGTCTGTAAAAAGTTATGAATACAAAACATTTCACTCGATCGGTTTTCAGTTACGATCTGGATGTATGGAATAAATATTATATTTCAGTTTGATAGAAGGGCAATTTTCTCACAGTCCTTTGCATTTTGGAAGCTTTCTTGATTGATTACACTAGTTCACAGCCAATTTATGACTGAATTTCACTAGTTCGGACTTCCATTGTCTAATATATAAAATGATTTAAAATCCCTGAAACAACTAAGCCGACTAGATCGACTAGAACGATCATCAGCTCCAGAGATTCGGCTAGATTTTTACTTCCCATAATACAACCATTACAAGGAAAACCATCGTCTTTTGTGAAGAATTCAAGGCATTTTGTCGAACTACTAGGGTCTATTGAAGTCACACAGGAAGATCAACTAATTAGTTTCGACGTGGAAAGCCTTTACACCAACGTTCCGGTCGAAGAAGCACTTCAAATCATACAGAGAAAGCTATCCGAAGACGGGAACCTGAAAGAGAGAACGAACCTAACTATAGAGGTAATTATGGAATTACTAGGATGCTGTGTACGAAACTGTTATTTCCAACTGAAGGACGAATTCTTTACACAAGATGACGGACTGCCAATGGGATCGCCACTTTCACCAGTTATAGCCAACATATACAGGGTGTAACTAGATAAGTGTAAAACATTCAAGAAGGTGATTCCTCATCGAAAAAAAGATAGGATCTTTCATATAAAGAAATTTCATTGGAGCATCCCTTGATAAGATACAGCCCCTCAAAGGGGGTACATAAAATTTGTATAACAACTTTTTTCACAAGCACTAAAAAAGTAACAATATTGAAATTAACCTGACGTTTTGTACTACCAAAAAGACACTTAGCCAGAAATGGATAACTATCGTCCCATAACAATAACGTCAAGCTTCTCAAATATCTTTGAATATTCTTTCCTTGAACGGTTGTTGAAATTTTTGGATGGTTTTAATATTTTAAGTGAAAATCAGCATGGGTTTAGAATTGATCATTCAACGAATACGGCTGCAATTTCGTTCTTTAACCAAGTTATTGAATATTTGGAATCAGGAGAATGCCCTGCAGGGGTTACGAACAAGGGAAAAGGTTTCACCAAAACATACTGACAATTGAGCAACGTTACCAAGGCAGATGTGATGCAGCAATGATGGGGGATTGTTGTTGGTTCCTTATGAGGGAAAACGATGAAACATTTAAAGGGAAGTCAACATTTGCTAAAAGGTTATGCACAAAAGACTTTATTTGAACGTTTTTTCATGTGTATTGGTTGTGTATATATTGGTTTTTCCTTGTTTTGATATTATATTTTCCTATAATATGTGTATAAAATAAAAATAACTATAACTCAAAATCTTTACCTGATGGAAAATTTTTGATGTCAAAGTCGCAGTCAGAATGCTTCAAACTCTCATGTATAGCCATTTTAATATCAGCCGCAATTTTTTTTCTTATTTCTTGGCTAGTGTTATGTTCGAATTCAGACTGAACATCAAAAAAATTGTACTGACCCTGCTGGCTAAGAAGCCTGGTAATATAACGAATAAAAAATGTTTCCCGTAACTAGACACCAACAAAAATGTTTTTTGTTTTTGTTTCAGATCTGATTTCTTGAAAGTTCGCGGTTTCGACGAGGACATCGTCGGTTGGGGTGGGGAAGACGTAATGCTGTACAGGAAGTACGTCAGAAGCAGCATGAAAGTAATTCGAGCGACAGATCCCGGAATTTTTCACATTTGGCATCCCAAGGTCAGTATTGAGGCGAAACAGTATATTTTCTTGGTGATACTCAATATTTTCATACATTTCCACTAGTTGCGTAGAATTTGATTTGTCACATTAAGTTTCGTGACAGACCATTTTAAACAACAAATAATAATAATATAGTGTCGTCCAATCGGTTTCCGAATCGGAAGGACCAAATCCCGGCCTTGCGGTTCGGGAGATTGAACGACGTGTACACAAGATAGAGGCTAAGATCACGTCGGCGAGACAACACGCGTCTCGTATCCAATTAGTGCTTCCACCCCAGAACATAACTCCATACTTGAGGAAAGGATATACGAGTCCATAGTATGCTGTTTTTAGTGCAGCAGTATTCAAGTGACTACTCAAAATTCTAATTGCATAACATTTGCTAGCCAGTTTTTTTGCAAGATGCTCAATATGTATGTCAAAGTTTAATTTGTCATCTAGATAGACCCCTAACATTTTTGTACATGATGAAAAATTCAACTTTTTAGGGCCTATGTTCACATACTCTGGAATAATGATGATATTTACCACATTACATGATTTTTTTTGCTAGTAAATTGCGAAGAATTCAGGAAGTGGGTATTAAAGCCGTTCGCTAGATCAACATAATTCATGGTACCACAAGGCAAGGTACCACAAGCTTAGAACACTGCTCCAAACCAGAAAACTGTACACACCTCAGCAACTTTTGATATTTTATGAAGTTCAGATCAAACCTTCTATGGAGTATTATTCTCATGTATGGAGCTTCGCCCCTAAACATACCCTGAAGCTGATGTATTTCATTCAAAAAAGAGCCATCCACCTGATTGGAAATACGAACATCACTTGATAGTTTTGATACATCCTTGATAGTTTGGAACATCTAAGGAGTGTTGAAGATTTGTCTCACTTTTGTAGTTATTTCAACAGGAGAAATTCCAGTGACTTGGCACATTTGATTCCACCAAGAGCGGTAAATATCAGATAATGCTGGAGGGCCTGGGGCCTCAAAAAGTAAAATTTTGGCAAGCAGTTGCTCTATAGTGCACCAGGTAGGTGAAAAAAGGTAGCAAAAAAACGAGAAACTCAACGAAAGACTCTTGAGAATCCTACGGATGATGGCTGTAGAGTCTGCAGTGCATATCGAACAATTTTGGCAGAAGCGGCAGCAGTTATATCTGGGATACCACTTATAGAACTTCAGATTGAAGGAATAGCAGAGCGATACAGAAGTATCCAGAAACGAATTGCAACAAACAATTCAATGCATGAATGGCAGGAAAGATGGAATACCGCCATATATAGAAGGTGGACCTAGTCCATGATACCAGATATACAAGTCTGGTGAAACATACTCTTTGGAGAACCTATTCATTTCGAAACTCAAGCACCCTCAAGCCATGTATGTTATAGAAAATATTCCTGGGAAGAAGATTAAACCAATTCTGACCAATGCGGTTATTACAACGAAGTCAACAATACGGAGCACACTTTATTTAACTGCGGTAAATGGCAGAACATCAGAGCAGACCGTCACAGAAAAACAGGACCAACCTTCAATCCAGAAGACACGATGCGAAGCCTAGTGAGCGGTGAGGAAATGTGAAAGGACACGTATGTATTCATAAGACAGAGTATAGCCACAAAAGAAACGAACGACATGAACTGAAGAAAATGTCAAGGGGCTAATGAAGGAGGAGTTTTGCTGGGGTATACAGGACTTACACACATCAGGATGGGAGTGCCCGGACTGTCACGCGAGGGAAAACCTTTGTGCGGCACCATTGAGGTTTTCCCTCTGTAGTAGCTATCCCTGCAGCGATGTCTACCGACAGTACCAGAGACCAGCAAAAGAGGCGGCTAAAGGAAAACATCAGATAGATAGAAAGTTATTCACTTTCAATTAACACTAAATTACAGGAAATGCTGAATTCTAATATTGGGTCTTCCAAGAGGGACTCCTGAATTTTGACAATTGATAACGGTCACATCTGTCGCCATGGTCGGATATAGCAAGTGCGAATGTTAAAATTATTTTATTAAAATGGGTGTTCTATAGACAACGATGTGTATTCGCTGAATGAGCTCTGAAGCAGTTTTCATTGAAAAATCACCTTCAACGATAAGGCCATTTCTGGATGCTATGGCTTTGAAGGATTGTCATATAACTGGCTCTACAGTTATCTAACAGGTAGGAAGCAGTTAGTAAAACTCCAAGGAAATACATCGCATATTGAGTAGTAATTGCATACGAATCGCATGCAAGCATTTTGTATACGTTGTAACTTCTGTTTGTTATATTGCGGCAAAAAATTGTAATACACCGAACAACAATACTCGATATGGGGGTAAATAACAGTTTCAACTAACCAGAGTTTCATTTCTTCTGATAACTGATACTTGAATTTATATAGCGATTTGAGTTGAATCTTCTTACCATCCAGGTCTTCAATCTTTGTTTAGCAAAGCTCAAAGTGATGCCAATGACAGGTTCTGGTTCGATGAAGCTGCTTGCAGCACCCTCCTTTGTAAGTACAATCACCGTATGCCACTGTCAAAATTTCGAGTGTTTTTAGGCACTCAATTCTATTTTTTTTCAAAAAATGTAATGCAAATTCTCTGATCCATTGTTTGAACACTCAAAACAGTTCTAACTTTTATTTCTGTTCGTAGCCCGCGAAATTTGAACAATCACGTTATTTTGTGAACAGTTCACGTATTTGTGTTCTGAAATTAAATTTGTTCATAAGGGGGTTTCAAGTCTTCTTTGGATCTACTTTGTGGAATTTCAACAATCCATCCCTTTTCGTCGCCCAATACATCACTTTGTGTCTATTGTTTTCGTCTCAGCGCCAATTTCAAGAAGAAAAAACATTCCCTTGGCGATAATGCAAGATGTTTTCCCGTCTCTGATGACACAAGGATCCATCATAGAAGCGGTCCACCCAGCTCTTATCTGACAGTTTAATACGGCCCGAAACACCCGTGATATACGCACTTTAATATATTTCCCGGACCAATGTCTCATCTTGACCCGGAACAATTCATAAAACTCAACTATCGCGGTCGTTGGATATAATAAATAGCGGAGAGGATGGAAAAACAAGGGCACTAATAGGAAAAACTCGATAATAAATCGGAAATCCGGAAAGGCTAGCGTTAGAGTGATTTCTCAAAGCCGCAACATCGTCCGAATTCGTTTTGGGGCTTTAATTTTTCCAGATATATCGGAAAACGCGATAAATTCGGATGAATGTGAGGGAACTAGGAGAAAACAATTTATGGGGGGGTCAGAAACACGGGAGTGTCTCTGTGGAAAGTTTAGTAGCTGCGTTCACTGCTTTGGTGATTTCCAATGTTCTGAGTGTGGGCGACCACGATATACAGGGTGGCGAATATTTAATTGCTACCTTGTTACCTGCAGAAGATACTGTAATGGATCTGAAGCCGGCCCTGACCGATATCTCAGTTAGCATACGCATGACTCATCGCGAAACACCGCGAAAGGTGTAGATGAGTCCCGAAATCCCTAGAGAGATCTGGAGCGATCGTTGCCTATATAAAAAGGCGCCGCTTCTACTCAGTCAGGCAGTCTGTACCTGGAAAGTGAATCATGCGTTTCAATAAAGGATTCGAACTGTGAAGATAAATTAAGCATTAGTTGCATAAGTGTTGTATATAAATTAGTTGTGATAGTGAAATATTGGAAAGTGAATCATGCGTTTCAATAAAGGGTTCGAACTGTGAAGATAAATTAAGCATTCGTTGCATAAATGTTGTATATAAATTAGTTGTGATAGTGAAATATTGTTAAAAATAAATTTGTTTAAGACAGTTAATTCTTTAATTCGTTACAATACGATGTTGGTTAAATTAGAAAAACATGTACCTTTGAGAATGAAACGGAATTATGTTTGGAAATCCAGTTTTTGTGAGATGATATAATTAGTTTTTTTACACAAGCACTACAGGAAAATCATTAAGTAGCGATTCACTTCGGATTAGAATCGCTGGAAATTAAATGCATTCAGGGAAATGTTCTCGGGAGATTATTTCTCATTTACACAGTTCTCGATATTAGGAGAAGTACATCCTAATTTATATNTTCTACACTGCAGTTTTACGTTCGCTAGTTGGTTGTTATATTCTATTCCATCCACCTCTGAGCTTCTGGATGTTTCCCTCAAGAATTACGAGGGAATCAAATGACGAAAGCTTGGCTGGACCATCAGCTGAAGGTTCCAATCAGACATAATTTCGAAAGACTACCAAAAGTGTATTGAAAACTAAATGAAAGCAAATTTTTTCAATTTGGGAAATTATACTGTTCGAACAACTGATTGTTTACACCCCTATTTCTTTACCGTGAGTTCCGAAAATATGAATCCCCAAACAAATTACCATCAAAATTGTGGCAAATTACAATATCAACATATTGGATTTCCCTGAAATTTTAACAGAAACAAAAGAAAAAATAATAAATCAAAAACATCGATGATAAACGTGATAATAAAATACTTAGGTCCAATCCCACATTTTCTCACGTATAAATCGACAAATAACGATCCTACGAAAAAATGTATCCGAACCAAAATTGTAGAAAATATAATTTGGTACAACTTTATCGATTACAAATTTTTTGGCAAAATTGAAAATAAACGTGATAATACAATGATAGATTTCACCCCCTCCCTTACTCGAGTATAAATCGGAAAATATTGATCCTACAAAAAATTGATGGGAACCACAATTGTAGAAAATTCGATTTTGAACAACTATGTTGGTACTTCTGATGCACTGTTTGGGACCTTTGGTGTAGTAATGGATATTATTGGAGTTTCTATCCCAACACCAAATATTTATTTTTAACACCTCGACACGTGTTTCGATCACCAAGTGATCATCTTCAAAGAGAAAGATTAAACTAGAAACTAACGCGAAGCTAACGCTATTTATGCTATATAGGTATAGCATACAGGTAAACTCTACAAGTGAACCACCCATACAGGTATACCACCCTAAATTAATTTTACAATTTTGCCTTATCTATTATTTTACAATATATGTTTAATATATAAAACAATTTTCAGCTATATGAAAATTATTTTTCAGAATATTGCCTATCTAAATTTATTTTATAATGTGTCCTTATGTAGTAATCAGTAAAAGTATTTTAACAAGCTATATAGGATGCTCTTTGGTATAGGTCCGTCATCGTTATTCATAATATTATTGTGTTTACTTATTTCTACACTCCCATAGGCATCTAGTTGCCTGTTGTTAACTTGTCTAAATAATTTTAATTAACTGAAGTATATGGAATCGTTTTGTTGCAAAATATGATGGGCCACTGTTGATTTTTCAGTTTTTCCATATTTTAAGTGTGCTATGTGTTCCTTATATCTTACTTTAATAGATCTTTTTGTCTGTCCATATTATTTTGCATCGCAGGCCTTACATTCAATTTCGTGAATTCCAGACTTTTCCGAATTCTCGACTTTGTCTTTTGAACTTCCCAAAAGACTCTGTAGTGTATGACTTGTTTTAAAAACCATCTGCATATCTAGTTTCTTGAAATTCTTTTCAAAGTTCTTTATATATTGGTGGTATGGAACTGAGATGTATTTATCTTGGTTTTTGTCCTTTCTGAAAGTCGAGATTTCGTTCATCCTTAACCTAAACTTTCGAATCTGCTCATGAACAGGTCTGCCAGGTAAGGGAACAAAGGGTTTTCCATGGCCGTTCCTTCCTGTTGTTCATAAAAGCAACCTTCTATCTGGAACCGATTTTGTTTCATACACAAATTAGTAAGAGAAACGAATTCATCGATTTCGTTACTATTGAAATTATTTTTCTCTAGTAATTCCCTGAGGTATTGCAAGGTCTGTGAAATTGGGACGCTAGGAAATAAGGAACTAACATCAAAAGAAACCAAAATCTCAGCTTCTTGCAGAACCATGTTTTTTGTATGTTGTATGAACTCTAAAGAAATTTTTATACTAAAACCTGGTTCCGCAATAAACAAGGTTTCAAATTCCTTAATGAGCCATTTTGCTATTTGGTAGGTAGGAGCTCCAATAGCTGACACGATGGGGCGCATTGATTTTCCCGGTTTGTGTATTTTTGGGAACTATGTTGGGAACAATGTTGGTAACAATTTTTTCGTAAAATTGAAAATAAACGAGTTGTTCGAAAAAATATAATTCACCCCCTTTTTTCGAGTATAAATCGGAAAATATCGATCTTAAGAAAAAATTTACACTCATGAAAATTGTGAAAAACCTAATTTTAAACAACTTCCGTAACGACTATTTTTCGTGTAAAATTGAAAATAAGTGAGTTCTGTATCTGTATCCGTAGAGTAGGGAGGGTGAGTGGTGACCCATAGCACTTAGGCCACATGTGACCCATTGTACATCCTCCAGAGGAGTTGCCCTCCTAGGTCATCGTCCATCCTGTCCTTTACAGGAAGGTAAACAGGTCACTAGGAGACATCCCCTTTATATCGGCAGGTGAAGGCCAAGACTCGTCGACCACAAACTCTCTCTGGTAACCTTGAGGTGTCTCACGGCGGCCTTCGTGAAGGTTTTGGAGGGTGCAGCCACTTTACTGTCATTGCGCGGATTCTTGGGGTCCCCTCCGTGGAGGTGTTAAAGTAAGGGCGCTTTCCTGCAGGGGCAGCCGGTTCCTTGCCTTTATTCAAGGCGGAGCTCTTAGCAGCCGCCGCAGGAAGCGCTTTTACTGTTGGAGGTGGAGTGGGGGAGGAGAAGGAAGCACTTCGTAACGACTATTTTTCGTGTAAAATTGAAAATAAGTGAGTTCTGTATCTGTATCTGTAGAGTAGGGAGGGTGAGTGGTGACCCATAGCACTTAGGCCACATGTGACCCATTGTACATCCTCCCGAGGAGTTGCCCTCCAAGGTCATTGTCCATCCTGTCCTTTCAAGGAAGGTAAACAGGTCACTAGGAGACATCCCCTTTATGTCGGCAGGTGAAGGCCAAGACTCGCCTACCACACACTCTCTCTGGTAACCTTGAGGTGTCTCACGGCGGCCTTCATGAAGGTTTTGGAGGGTGCAGCCACTTTACTGTCATTGCGCGGTTTCTTGGGGTTCCCTCCGTGGAGGTGTTAAAGTAAGGGCGCTTTCCTGCAGGGGCAGCTGGTTCCTTGCCTTTATTCAAGGCGGAGCTCTTAGCAGCCGCCGCAGGAAGCGCTTTTACTGTTGGAGGTGGAGTGGGGGAGGAGAAGGAAGCACTTATAGTTGCTGCCACTCCTGTCTCTATCGCTCTCTTCCTCCTTTTGGCCTCCTCGCCGCAAATGGGCTTACGCCTCGGCTTTTGTATTATATCACGAGGTGACCTGCCATGTCCAGCCTCATTCCGAGCGGTAGATTGGGGTGGACTTTCCTGTTCATCCCAGCCACTGCCGTAGATTGAGGTGAGCATATCTGTCCAGCCTCGGGATTGGTTTTTGTTGTTTCTGTGTCTATTTTTGTGTTTGTTTCATTCATGTGTGTTTTCACGAGTAGCAGGGAAAGAGTTGGTCACTCTGGCAGAGCCCCGCATTACCAGAGGAAGGCTGATTACAATGAGGTTCCGCCCGGTTCTACAAGGGGATTGTTCGTAACCGCATATTACCCTGCGGCCATTCAGCTGTCGGCAAGATTCCTTACGTCTCACCCTGGGTAGGCTGGTCCACGGTGGCATGTTTTGCAAAGGCGAGGTTCCCCTTACACTAATTATTCGCCCGAGTTATTCAGTAGACAAAAATCAACCCCTAAATTCAGTATGGTGGATAACGCAACAGGTTTGGCGCCCCGGGGATCCTAAATTTAGATTGCCCGGGACCTCCCTCAAGAACCCCTAAAAAAAATTGACAATAAAAATGTTCGCGTCATCAAATCCTAATTTGACTGTACTAATCAGGAAATATGTGCAACAATTCACACTTGATCAGACTAGACTGCGAAGGCCACAAACTCATATTATCATTTTTTTCCAGGTCTGTTCGGGTGGTCCAGGAGGCCAAAAACTCTCAGCTGACCAGTACCGAGCTTGCATCAGATCGAGAGCCTTGAACGAGGCATCCCACGCCCAGTTGGGCTTCCTGGCATTCAGGGACGACATTGCTGCCAACAACAGCCCCGCGAAATACCCGGCGCGCCAACTGAAAACGCTGAAATCCCCGCCGAAAAAGTTGAAAACCAAGACTTAGTAAGAAACCCGTTTTATATTATTTGTGTAGGGCCGTTTTGTGATTCGAAGCCAAAAAGACAATCCGAGGTGGTGGTGGAGTTGTGTTAGCGATGGGTAGGTGGGGGTGATGCGTTTCGATTCGATATTTGTCAGTGGCGTGGCAGGAGTGTGGAGTTGGGGGGTTACGATGCGGGAACTGAGGATGATACAGTAAACGTTCAGAATGGTTGTGGTAATATCATGGGAAAGTTTAAAATCTATCTACATAATGTGGATATTAAATAAAATATTGGCTAGCAATAAAAGTATTAGAGAAGCAACATTTTCAGTAAAAGATACAGTGTGTCATCACTCGTTGACGATAGGACGTTATTTACTTTTTTTTCGAATTGGAAAAGGGTTTTAGAGGTACCTGTCGCTACTGGGTTATTATCAGTTCAATCTTCCAACAAGAATCACAAACAAACCATGATTCTGATGCAAAATCTATTCCAAACACATTTTAGTTTGTTATGTAGTATTTTGCGAATAATTCCTCCACAGACAGCTATTTTGCCATCAATCAGTTCGGGGGTGGAATAAGGTTTTTATATGTTGCGTTTCTCTACGCCAGCTTGGCTGAATGAGTCGTGGGACAACATATATGCAGCTTCTTTGAACCTACTCTCGAACCAGTGTTCCTCTCTGTGGATAATCTCAGCTTGGAACCACTTGATGCTATGTTGATGAGTCCAAACATGCTCTGCTATTCTCGATTTACTGGTTTCTCCTCGCTGTGTGTTTCTCTCGTACTCGGCAATGCCGACTTTCAAAGGTCTCTTAATTCCACCGATTTAGGATTTGCCGCACTCGCAGGGTATTCGGTAAATGCAATTCTTTGAATCGCAGTCCGTGTTTGGTGGCCTGGTTTTCGTGAGGCTGCTACAGATAGTGTTTCTGGATCTGAAGCAGGTTCAGAATTTGTCCTGGAACCCAATTCTTTCCACAATCCTCTGACCTAGGGAGGGGCAAGAACTGGTTTTGTTGGTGTCTCTTCCTTGTGGGTTTCTTAATATATTTTAGACACAATCCGTTCCATGATCACTTTGAATTTCATCATCACTTCAATGAAGTGGTTACCCTAAAGAAGACAGCAAGTGTCCAAGAAGAGAAGCCGTCACAACCAGTGGTTGCCCTTCCTTACATCAGACGATTGTCGGTGATGAAAAAAATTGGGTCCAAGTACAATATAAGAACCTGCTTCAGATCCCGAAACACCATTCGTTGCGGTCTCACGAAAACCTGGCCACCAAACGCGGATCTCGATATTATAAGTTGCATTTACTGGATACCCTGCGAGTATGGTAAGAACATCGGAACTCTCAGAAAGCAGGGCAATCACATCTGGTGTGCCACAAGGTTCTGTGTTGGGTCCAGTTCTGTTTTTGTTGTATATTAATGATTTGACTATGATATATATCTGGCAGCTTTACTCTATTCGCGGATGATACAACAATATTGTTGAAGGAAAAAAACCCAGCAGAGCTACATAAAAAGATATCATCTGATTTAGAAAAGGTGAAAAATTGGTATGATGCTAATTTATTATCCTTGAATATCTCCGAAACAAATATAATAACATTTGAATGTCTGCTAAATGAACTGTCAATAGACAATGATATCTATATCGCTGAAACTGAGAGACCATTGAAAGTCCGCTTTGCCGAAGTCAAGAAACACACACATCGAGGAAAAACTAGCAAATCGGGAATAGCAGAGCATGTGTGGACTCATCAACATACTATCAAGTAGTTCCAAGCTGCGATTATCCACAGGGAGGAACGCTGATTCAAGGGGAAGTTGAAAGATGCTGCATATATGTTGTCCAACGACCCATGCAGACAAGCTAGGGTATGATTGTTATTATTAGCTATTCATTTCAATTTTATTTGTTCTTTCAGAGATTTCAAATCATATTATATTAGACAATGAAAGTCCGAACTATTTAGTTGTCGCTGTCAAACGAACATCTGAGACTACTACATTCTGAGAGTTCTGAGTTCCTAACTCAAACATCCCAAATGCATCAGAACTCTTCACTCCAAAAATGTATATAACGTACTATGCCTCTTACGGACTCGAAATGCAACATTTCCCATGAAAGATAGTTACCGAGATACTCAAAAATTTGTGATTTTTACCATTGCCGATATTCCGAAAATAATAGTGATTTTTACTGTTGATTTTTGTTGTTTTTATTGACAGTTTTTCTATTGTTAGTGTTAATTCTGAGACTGTTGAATGGCTACATCGAAACTTGTTACGGATATCAAAAATGCAAATATTCCTGAAAAGTTCCCCGCAATTGTGATTTTGTTTGTTGGGAGAATATATTCCTCTGGCTTTGTGAGCGTTAAACAAGAAATGTTTCTAGTTTTACGACTGGGTGATAATATTACCTTCTAGGTATTTATTGAAATGTGAGCCATTTTTTAAAATAAACTCTATAAAAAACTTGGCAGTTCATATATTTACCCGATTCTAAGCTTTTCCACTGCTTTTCATAGCATTCTTGATAGTGTGATAAGGAAATATAAATTCTCTGCTTTCCCATAGCAAGAATTTGATTTTAATTAATTGTTTTCTCAGTATTTTCTCAGTTTCACTGAGAAAATACTGTAACCAAACTGAAGCCGCCCCTGACCAATACGCTAGCCAAGTCATGGAACAAACACATGACATCCGTGAAAGAATGTAGTCGGGAATCGTCGGTGAATTTCTAGTACCGAACCGACTACAGAATTCTAGAAAGGACCGTTATCCATAGAAGCACGTCTTTCCGACCCAAGAGGGCAGTTCTGAAAGTGAATCGAGCGGCTAAACAAAAAATTCAAATAGTGTAAATAAATTAAGCGTTACGTTCAAAACAGTATCTTAATGTATCTTCCCAACATACATACGATAAGCTACTTGAAAACTCTGTGTAAACATGAGAAAATGAAACCGAATCCTCCACTGAGACTTCCTTTAACTTCTTGTTCTTACGTTGTTATATCCTGCGGCATGAAAATTGCAAAAGGGCGAAAAGGATTACGTTAAATAAGTGATGTGCCAGTTTCACTGAGAATATTCAGGGAGAAATGTAAGCCCGCAGACACGTTTTCCTGAATAATGGATGTAATTTCTGGAAAGGCTCGTTTTTCCACGGCAAAATGGGAGCCCGATTGTCAACTCTATGCTCATGGGAGAAAGTGTCGTTTTGGGGATAAGTGGAGGGCTCGTGCAGGCCAAAGACACTTTCAACTTTTTCAGGATTTACAAAGTTCATGAAATGTGGAAAAGGACGAAGGTATATGATGGAAAGTAAGGATGGAATGTAATGATGGAGATGAAGGTACGATGTTATAGTTATACGGTGTATGTCATATCGAACAAAACACCTTAGGGAAAATCCCTAAGGCGATCTGAGAGCGGTACCTGTGTGGAAGTGGCGATTCTCGTCGAGAAACCTGATACAACTATATCGCTGGTACAAAGAAGACATCCGTTCCGCCGGAACTGCATGGGTAATTGAATGTGTCAATCTGAATTTGATGACCCCAGGAGAGTTATAGATCATGCAGTACAGTACCTGATGTAACCCAAATACAGGCAAATTTACCTAAAGAACCTGGAGTACCTGTATTGAGGCGTTCGACCCGTATAAATGGACATAGAACAGGATGACACGTTCAGTTTGAGTAGAGTAGGCTCTACGACCAGCTATCGAAAGCGCTCGCATGTAATCAAATAGAAGTTATGAAGCTTCAAATCTATTTTGTGACTTACATTAATATTAAAATACTGAAAATGAAGGAAAATTAGTTGTATCTTTCAAAAATATTGAATTTTGCAAAAAGGATTTGAAGCTTTATATCTTCTATTAATTATCTGCGAGCGCTTTCGACAGCTGGTCGTACTGTTATCTTATAGGCACTCCTCAAACTGAACTTGTCATCCTGTCGTCTGCCTCTTCATACGGTCCGAACGTCTCAACTCAGGTATTACAGGTACTTTAGGTACAATTTCACCACAGCACCTTCATACAAAATTTCTACAATCATAGCCGACGAACTGAAAAACAAAATCAACAGGAACAACGACCACAGCATCAAAAATTCAATGGAACTCTTCACTTATCGAGGAACAAGTACAAATCAAAACACAACAAGATCTCACATTCAATATATTAAACAAAACCATACACATTCCTAGAGAAGATCTAACTCGAAGAAGAGTACCTGATGCAGAACAAATGCAGGCAAATTTACCTAAAGTACCTGAAATACCTGAGTTAAGACGCTCTGACCGCATAAAGAGGCAGACAACAGGATGACCAGTTCAATTTGAGGAGTGCCAGATGATGACAGTACTACCTTTTACCTTTTAGATACGATTTGAACCATTCAAGACATGTGCCTCTTATGCCATGAAGTTACTGTACCACATAATGATGAACAATTTCATCCATTTTCACAAATTCACCGAAAACGTTCGCTACTGATGGCTACCAAACAAATACTGAACAACGCAGCGTCTTCAAACTTGAAACATATGCTCTATAGATTGTGTACTTTCCGAATCAGCGATATTTTTCAAAGAACTACTGCCATCTCTTGGTCAGGCTGGGTACTTCTGGGACCACCCTCGTGTTCATGTCAAAGAAGGGATCTGACCATTCCGCGATTTTCGACGTGCCCTGTACATAACAAATTTGGAAAAAAATGTTTCGCAAACAACAGACAACCGGGATTTTTACTGTACTCTGCGTTTCCCATTTTTGGATAAAAACACTGATATGCAGTTTTTTTTCTCATTTCNTTGGGTAGTTGATTTTCGTAACTTGCAAAGGGTAGAAATTTTGTTTTTTCAAAATTGATTGTGAGTGACTTATGATCAAACCAGTCTTTCAATACATTAATTTGGGTTTCAACTTTCATTTTCAATTTTTCCCAATTATCATCAGTATATATTATGGCCGTATCATCTGCAAAACTGTAAATGGAACCATCTGTCTTCATGGTAAGTAGGTTGTTGATATATAATGGAAATAATGTAGGTCCAATCACAGTACCCTGTGGTATACCATAAGTAATTTCTTCTTTTTACCGAAAGCTCCACAGTTTATTTCGTAAATTTCAGCCTTTTGCTTCTCCTTCGTCTCATTTTTCGGATTGCCAATCACTTGAAGTTTATAAGCACTTTTGAAAGTCACTTTGAAAGAATTTATGAATTGTAAGTTTTCGTCTCTTTGAAAAGTCGAGAATTCACAAAGACACTGTCTAAGTTATCTTTTTTCAATTTACTTATCCACGATGGTTGAAGAATACCTTTCACTTTCACCTGTTCTGGATAGTGATCAGAACTTTCAGAGATTTATCTGGAAGAATTAGATTTCTTTCTATATGTATACATCAAATTCCTATAAAAGAAAATCCAAGACTTATAGCTCCGTATCTTTTTCAATGCTGTATATCCTCAAGAAATTGCAGTTGTATCGATTCATCATGAAAATTTCATTGTGTATCTCTAGAAAACTGAAGAAAACAAGCATTTCTTTAATTTTTGCTTAACTTTTTGAATGTCGGAATTGGCACTCTGAAATTATTATTATTATTATTATAAGTTATTGATAACTATTACTGATCTGTAATTCATTTCCTATCGTATCTTACAGAATAAGTGCTTTCAGAGGTTTTTGACCGTTGCGTTGTTAATGAATAAACAATCAGGTGTATGAAAAATTTAATTTCCGCCTAATGAAAACTTTTCAATATACAAAGATAATGTGAAACCTCCAATTGTTTGCAGTATCCAGTAACATATCCATAACATAACATGCCCATGTTGAGGTGACCTACTTATAAATAGAATCAACGCGATGTTTTATGGATTCCAGTAACAACTTTGGAGGAAACCTCATGTATTTTTAAAGGAGTTTGTTGTGATGTCTTTTTCAAATATTCATGTCGAGATGTTCCTTTTTTAAATATATTTGGTCGTCTGGGTACACAAATCGTTTCTACTTTTTCAATTTCGAAAACTTACAGTGATGGAGATCTGAGTTCCTTCACCCAGAGAATAATAAAACATCATGTCTAACTGTTTTAATTATAATACAAAATCTATTCTACTTTCACAAAAATTTGCAACAATCTTTGTCTTCGGTGTTCTCATCTTGAAGTCAGCATCAACTTTAAGAAAAAAAAATGAATTGCACGTAACCTATTGCCATCTATAAAAACAAGATATATACAACTCTAGTCAAATATTGTTAATTCGAGGAAATTTCAATTGAAAGTCAAGTTTTGAATCAAGAGGTGATCAAGATGATACAGTTATGATAAAACTTGAAGAAGTTTTATGCCCTGAAGCACTAAATAAATAGAACAAGAATCATGCGAACATATAGAAGGAACATTTTCCGGACATAATTCATCAACAATAACCTCACACAGAGATCTTCTCGAATCAGAAGCTGTTTTAATGGTGATGAAATGTTCAACATTGTTGATGAAAGTACAGTTACTCGTTATGTTTCATATATAATTTTTTTATGCTAGACTATCTATAAGATTTCTATCCAGAACTTTCTTCGGGTGATTGGGTGTTTTGCTCGTCTTCTCTTGGTGGCTTAAGAGTGGTTGAAGAAGGTCTACCATAGAGGTAGCTGGTCTGCCTATATCCATCGTAAGGGTCTCTCGGTCTGTAGCTGGCGTAACCACCATGACTGTAACAAATTTTCCTGTGTGAGTTTCGAATCAAATTGGAAAATATCACATCAGAGTTGTCAAAGAAAAACTAATTCAATGAGGGGAGAAATGGAAGTAGGAAGAGTGGTAGCTATAATAGCACCGATGATTGGATGATGCAAACCAAACAGGTTTCAGTCAGTTTAGATTTCCAACTGACTTCATGGATAGGAAATCTCTCTTTTGCGGTGCAGGTCGCATTTTTAGGAAATTAAAATTACAGATGCCAAAGATAAAAAAGACATTCAAAAGTCGGTTGAAGTCGAAGCTTTGCTTGGTAAGAGACTGTTTTGAATAATTATCCCCAATCAGCCAGGTACAAAATTTGGAAAAACGAGCGCCAAAAAGAGTATTGCAGTTCTAGTTTTTTTGAAACAGTGTTTCTATTGGATTCATTAACTGTATAGTTTTATAATTAATCGTTATTTTATTCAAATTTTGAGCATTATCTCGCAGTGCACTGGTCCCAAGAAGAACCATTTTCAATTTTGTGGGATTTCTAGTCAAATAGTCATCAATCTTCAGAAATGTGCCAAAATATCTATCAAGTGAATCACGTCTTGAAGAGAAAAACTGTCAGAAGTTTAGTGCCATCTGTATAAAAGTGGCTTTAAGATTGTCATAGATTCCTGGGGGGATTGCAAAAATACAGAGCAACCAGTATAGGGCCCAGAATTGTTCCTTGTGTCATCCAAGTTTTCAAAGGTTAGTGGTGTGATGTTCTGTTATCAATGACTATTTTCTGGGACCGGGCTTTGCAGAATTCGACACTATGGGACAATATGGGATAACATGCTTGGCAATAGTGTGTATGCATTACATCAATTATTGGTTGTTATTGGTTATTATTCCTGATTATAATCTAACGAATTTTTGTAATATCCAATCAGACATTCCCTTTGTTAATTTCTTTTTTTTTGTACATTACCCCACGGCATTCGTGAAATAGTTCTTGTCCGAGTTTGACAGATGAATTTTTAAAATTTCTGGGCAAACCAATTTGCCGTACTGCTGCTGAAATCTTAGCCGGTCCTATTTTTTTTTCTTACAAGCATATATGACTCTCGAGCATAACTGTAAAATATGACACTGGTGTGAAATATGCTAGATAAAATGAAAATGACCACAAAGTGGAAGACGAGAACCTGGAAGACAGACATCTATGGAAGTAATCATGAAATTACTAGAATGGGATAGGAAGAATTGGGCCGAAGTGAAACATCAGAACCTGCTTCAGATTCGGAAACCATCCGTAGCAGCCTCACGAAACCCAGACTACACGCGGACTGCGATTCCAATAATTGCGTTTACCCGATACATTGTGAGTGCATCAAATCCTACATCGGTGAAACTGAGAGGTCATTAAAGTCCGCATTGCCGATAACCAAGTGATCATCTTCAGGAGGAAGATAAAATCTGATGATTAAGCTATCCATTCTGAGTTCATTGGTTCTTTTATAGATTTCGAATCATAATAGACAATGTAAGTCCGAACTAGTAAAATTTATTTTGAAACATTGTCGACTACTATAAAAAAAATTAGAATAGTGTGATGATAACTATTAAGTATAAATATAATGATAACACTTCCAAAATACAAATCATGAAATTATAAAACAACAACACAAATTAATTGTAGTTCCGAGGCGACTTCATTGATTCCAGTGGCGCTTTTGCTTTTTCAGCTGCAGGAAAACCCTGAAAAACCTGCAGCACCACATCATTTAACGACATTGTCCTGCAAATGTCCTCTTTCTCATAAATCAAAATGTAGGGTGTCTCCAGAGGCTCCAATAAATTCAATACATCGCCAAAACACGACTATCGTCGAACTTAAACCAGTCCGTTTCATCGTTGGCCAAGGCGTAATAATGACCAGATTCAACGCCAGAACCACAGTGAACAATGACTGCATGAATATTGTAATAGTGGTCTACTAGGTTGAAATGTTCATCAATTTCGAACCTTCGCAAGAGTTCTCAGATAACCCCACTATATTTAGTTATAATTATAAGCATATGTCAGTATATATTTCCGATTTGGCACCATCCGGTATATGTTTATTTCCTCGCGCCTGTCGTCAAGGTGACTAGCCAAAAAATTGGTCTCTGCGATAGACGAACAGAATGTTTGAGTTTGACAGTGACAGTACGGATATAAAAACGTAAGAGCCGGTGGTGCTATCGAGTATCCAAGAATCAAAGTGCCGATTTACATGTGCTTCTTTATACCTATAAAGCAATCAACCCCTTACAGTCCACTATTCGCTGCTGATTGGGTGGATGCGTCCCCTTTACCCGGAAGAAAAACACCTAGTTCTGGTGCAGGTGCTTTTAGTCGCAGACCCAGGACAGAGTTATCTATCTGCCTAGGAACTTATGCGACTGTACTTCAAGCGGAAATTTACGCTATTGGAGTATGTGAGGACAGTCAAGCGGCGTTGGTAGCTCTTGACTCCTACTGAGCAACGTCTAAATTGGCAGCAAATTGCCAAAAATGACTCTCCTCGATAGGAAGACTTATCAGATTGTCTCTGGTCTGGATTCCTGGCCATACTGGCCTGGAAGGCAACAAAGCAGCTGAATCCCTTCAAAAGAGGGCGCGTCAAGCAGCTTCATCGGACCAGAACCTGTCATTGTCATCGCTTTAGGCTTTGCCAAACAAACTTTGAACATCTGGATGGCAAAAAGATTTATGGACTTCTGGCAGAATCTTCCATGATTGGCTCACTCCAAGGCGTTTATTCACCCTTTGAAGCTTGATACCAAACAGTTGTTGGACTACAGTAGGGATGAACTACGATGTCTGACAGGACTTCTCATGGAGAGACCTGGACTGTCGGAAGACAGTGTGTGTCGCCTCTGTTTGGAAAATGATAAAATAGCAGAGCATATAGATAGATAGATAGATAGATATATTTATTTGACAACTTCACACTTGAATGTTTGTTGCAAGTCAGTTAAAATGTACACAGAAAAAGAAAAAAAAACTAGTCGCGAGTTAAAAATATTGGATCATAAATTGTGAATATTTTTTGAATATTTTTGAAAGTGTCAAAAAACAAATATTATGTATGAACATGAGCTTCACATATCAGATGAAATAAAATCAAATCCAAATTGACATAATTGAAGTGCTTAAATAATCCTGAGTACTATAAAAACAGTTTTCCAGGAGAATAGTTCTGACCCTGTTTTTGAAGGAGCTATGTTTGAGCACTTTGAAGGAATATGATTGTAGAGATTGATATTCAATGATTGTGTTCTTTTCAGGGTTAAGTGGAAGAACATTTTTTCTGATGCATTGCATTACAGACGATGAACTTCGCCCTTTATTTCATTTCGTAGGTTAAGGATATAATTATGTTGATTTCTGTTTCTTATTTTTTGTTATGAAATTATAAAGACGATATTATTATTATTATTTACCCGGAAGCTGGGATACATCCCAAACTCAATCAATCACTGTTATTAAATCAATATTCCTGTTCTCGAATCCCTTCCAATTTTCTCTCAACCATGGAAATGAAGCCCTCAATAATGGGAAAGTGGAGGACTAGTATAAAGTTACGTAACTTCGCTGGGGACCGTATGTAAATATTTTGGTGAAAGTGAAAATCGCGTGTGACTGTATTTGGAATCTGGCGCGTTCATTTTCCGGTTATTTTTTTTGTGCGGACGGATATATTTCACGTGCTGATTAACACAGAGCGCATTGTGATTAATTGTGTTTTCGTGGGTCTTTTCATGTCCGGCGTGGAATACGCTTTTGCTTCGCGTTCCGGTAATGATGTACTATTTTTTCACGCGGTGCGCCGGAAGAATGTTCGCGGTTCATTGAAATTGATGGATCTAGCCGGAATTTGTCATGATTTCACAGGTAATTGCAGGCTGGATGAAAAAATTTTTGATGAAGCCGAGACCATCAGAATGATTGGTATTCGTGAAAATGCCTGAATGATCAATGCTGTTGATGCTTAACCATTTAGTGAAAAAAACTTGTTGGAAATCTATGATACTTTTAAGTACCTTTATCGTTCACAAAAATTCTGATCTCCTACAGTCTGAAAATACCTTACAATCTACAAAAAACCTGGTCAAGTATAATCTCTAGAGCGTTTAATTAGTTGTCCGCTCGCGTTGAATTTGGTTTATCACATTGAATTTCGCAACAGACCATTTTAAACGAATAGTTACAATATTTTTGTATCAACCCAAAACTTTAGGTACACAACTTCAAAACAGACAAAAACAATACAATCTTTGAATCCCTATTTTTCTTCCTTGAGGGTGAAAATTCCTGATTCCCTTTCTTGGTGCTTATTAACGCTATACAAAGAACCTACCTGGTTCAACATTCTAGGTCTAGTAGTTTCGGCAGTACGTTAATATAAGAGCAGGCAACAATTAGAAATTTATATTTTTACTTGAAAAATACAATAGCTTGAAAAATATGCCAACTGCACTCAGTAATACATAGCTTCGAGATCCAAATTATGTTACCTAAAAAGAAATTCGTAAAACTAACAAAACCGTCAACGACGTCTGCTCTCACGCGTCTGCCCGCGTTCGGGTTGCCTTCTCGGCGATGGCGCTTCATCGCTTAGACTGCCCCTCTGCCCCCGCTCATCGTCCCTCTGTGTCTTACAGTAGATGCGACGCGTAATAGCTTACTGCGTTGTATCGAGATGATCTTATCGTAATAACTTTTCAAGGATTCGTCCAAATTACTTAGTATTAAAGACAAAAGTTTATCTATATTGAATACTTAAAACAACAATTGTATCAATTTTCATAAGAATGTTCGTGTCAGTTCGTCTGAAACAACAACATTTTTGGGATTTGGGATTTGGATTCAAATATGAGATGGAAAACGAAAAATTTTTAATTTCGAAAAGAATGAACAGTGGATACTCTGCTATTCTACAACTTGAAAATAACATCGATATCTCTAAGCTACTTGGCGTTTAATATGCTCT